AGAAATTGGCAGCTCTAATAGCTACCTTACTTTTGATACATGAAAGGGTTATCTCTTTTTCCTGGAGGAGATACTTTTCTATTCAGATATTATGTTCACCAGACTGAAGACACAAGAACTTCTGGGCTTCCTATTTCACTTGAGTAGAATAGTTAATGAGCTGATTTTTGTCTCCTGTTTCATCTGTTTTGGGTTTCTTTTGAATATTTAATGGATGTTTAAATATCATATATGCCTTCCTATTTTTTCCACATACATTGTCTGGAATCCTTCTATCTTGATATCTGTCTTTAGCATTCCAGTGCATCAGTATGTTGCAGTGGAGCGGAAGAGCACATTCTCAAAGCTCAAATCAGTCTGCCCTTCTCTTTTGCCTTCTGTTTCAATCTGTTGGTTTGGATTTGAAGTTCATCCAGAGCTAGTTAATTGTTCATTTGTGCTCCAACTTTCTATTTAGTTATTTATCTATCAACTGCTTAAGGAACTTGGGGATTATTTTTACTCAGCCTGTGAAAATTCTATATATTGGACCTAGGTCCAAAAAATTAAACTGATAAGAATGCGTTTAAATGTGGCATAGCTGCCTCCCTTTAGTGCAAGTTATTTAGTTTTTATTTTTCCATTGCTTTATACCTGAAGAAAGTGTTTGCTGCTAATTTATTTATCGTTTCTGTGGACAGTTACTGAAAATCCTATGAGTATTCCAAACCATTCTTAGCTCACAATTGATGTAGTTTGGCTTGTTGCTTAACGAGTTCTAAACTCATTAATCACTATAACAATGCTTCTTGATTCCTGTTTTCAACGATGTAGGCTTCATCTGTGTACTAATAATTTAGAAATATTTGTCTTTGGGTTTTATAATGGGAAAGAATTGCAAGCATACATCTCCCTTGGTCTGCTAAGACCATCCAGAACTATTTCTAAACAGCTCTTAATGGACCCTTGTATATACACAGAATTCCCAGATGCGTAAGTGACCAAAAAATAGAAACATAGGATTATTAGACAGCTTTGTTTCTTCTTGATAAAATACTTCCAGCGCTGCTGGAGGTTTTGAAGTCAAGGCTCATCAATTTTATGTATTTTACAATTTAAAGACCCTTGAGGTTCAAGCAAGAGCTATTAGGAACGTTAATTTTGGAGAGAATTGTCAGATAACACGCTTTTCAGTGAGTGATGTTTGCAGCTGTAGTCAGACTTGCACTTCAGTCATAACTCCAGTAGTTATGCTCTTAGATTTGTGTGTATATTATGAACTCATTGTCCAGATATAATAGAATAAGAACACGTCTGCAGAATCTTATATGGCCCAAGTTTACTTTTATGTCATTGTATAGGAATTTAGAAATCTGCAATTCTTGTTTGGGGATAAATTCACCATTCTGTGCAACATGAGTATTAATGCTCCCTGCATGATGTTGCCTGTCTTATTCTCTAGCCTAGGAATCACAGTCACAGATTGGGACACTGCTGAGTAAGGTGACATGCACACAAGCATACCCCCAGATCAGTTCCATCCCTAAGGATTTTAAATTTCTTCAGTGAAAATACAGCTATAAATAAGCAGTCAGAAGTGCAAATAAAGAGAACTTTGATTAGAAGTTGGTAGTTTATTGCTTACCAAGGTTTTGTAGTCTTACATGAATGTAAAGTTTTGTATTCTGTGTGTGATGGGCAGATGAAGCTAGTGGGCATCTCTCTCTGGAACTTGTATCTAGCAAGTGTATCACAAAGGCCATGAATAATTGAGCTTTCCTGGTCAATGTGTTCAATGGAAACAGGGTATCCATGGTAACAAAGCTGTCTTACAGTTAACCATGCAGAGCATGTCAGTGTTACCATTTTCTTATAAGTCTGGGAGTGGGATGTTATTCCCTTTTACGATTTCATTCAAATAGCATTTTCTAAGTTCTGAAATAAAATAACATTTCTTGGAATTTACCACCACACATGAGGAACAGCTGATTTTCATCAGCTGCCTCGCATACTCTGATACAAGTAATAGGGTAGATCCATAATGAAACTAGGTAGTGGAAGGAAAGAGAGAGGAAAAGAAATACAAGATTAGTTAAATAACGATGAAATGATGTGATGGTGTAAAATTAGAAGGTCTGTGTACTTTTTGAAGAAAAACTGGAGTTTTTCCACTATATTTAAAAGACAATCACCATGCAAAATACCTTCACCGTTTCTTCCTTGAATTAGCAGAAGTGAAGGATACTAATGCTGTATCAAGACTGTGAGTTAAGAGGACTATTCTTTTTTGTTGCTGTAGTTTAAAAGCAACGAAAATCAACAGAATGCATGCACACACAAAAAATAACAACCCACAGCCACAAAGAAAGTAAGTAAAGAACAACCAAAATCAAGAATTCTACTTACCACTGCTTCAGCTGTTTTCAAAGCACTCTCTCTGGAGTACAACACATGATTTGTTTTAGTGTATCTTTGAAAGACAAAAGTTTGCTACATGCTTTTTTTTTTTTTTTTTTTTTTTTTTAAGAGAAGAAGCAAAAAAGGATAAATAATGTAGGACAGAAAGCTACTATCAACACTCTTCAAAAAAATATGCTTTACTTTCTACCCCAACCAGTGGTAAAAGACTTGTAACTTCAAAGACACCTTTATCTTCCTGCTCAGTGGATTGTTCTGGGATTAGACAGTTCTGCAGTTGAAGTGGAACACCACCCCCAGTCACTTTATCTGTTTTAACTCACCACTTTTATCCTTAACCCTATAAGGCAATTTCACTTGTTTTAAAAATGACTACATGAGTGTCTGCATCAAAGTCAAAAGTGTATGTGAAAGTACTATGTGTCACCTCGTCCAAATGAGACAGAGTAGGCAGTCAAACTCACTTTCTAGGATGACAGATAATGCCAGCTTCCTAGACTAAAACCTGTCATTTCTGTTTTCCTACTGTGAAGAATCATTGTCCAATTATCGACTATATTGTTTTTTCATCCTTTTTTAATTTAAAACTCTACCAGGCATTGTTAGTGGGGGAGGAAGTGACAAAATGGAACAGGGATGCTAGAGAAATTATGCCTTTGTGCATTTTTATTTATTTATTTTTTTTTGAAAGCGTTGTTTAGTATTATCCCCCAAAACCCTCTTTCCCAGCCATATAGTGAATATTGATCCTGTCTGTCTTTCTAGCTGAGAGCTCAGTTTTCAGGGGTCAATTAAAAGGCACTTTGAAAGGGGAGCACAGGCTAGCCCAGGACAGAAGCTGTTCATAGAATGCAGTAAATGTGAAAGTAGAGTTCTTGAGCAATTACTGGGACCTGGGGAAGTGGCCATTTGACATGGTGCTGGGGAAGGCTCTGGAGCAGATCATCCTGAGTGCCATCACACAGCATGTACAGGACAGTCAAGTGACAAGGTTCACTTGTCACAGCGTGGGTTTCTGAAAGGCAGGTCCTGCTTAACTAACCTGGTTTTCTTCTATGTCACAGTGCCCTGCTTTTTCGATGAGGGAAAGGCTGTGGATGTAGTCAACCTAGACTTTAGTAAAGCTTTTGATAGTTTTCCACTGGTTTTCTTTCTTGGAAAAACTGGTTGTTTGTGGCTTGGATGGGCATATGCTGCACTGGATAAAAAAAAAAACTGGCAGGTTGGTGGGTCCCAAAGAGTTGTGATGAATGGAGTTAAATTCAGCTGGAGGCAAATCACAAGTGGTGTCCCCCAGGGCTCAGTATTGGGGCCAATTCTCTTTAACATCTTCATCAGCGATCTGAACAAAGAGATCATGTGCACCTTCAGTAAGTTTGCAGATGTCTGTACGTCAGATGGGTGTATTGATAGGAAGGCTTTACAGAGGGGTTTGGACCGGCTGGACTGGTGGGCTGAAGCTGCCTGTATGACATTCAGTAAGGCTATGTGGTGGGTTTAGCACTTGGGTCCCAACTGAGGGAAGAGAGGTTGGACAGCTGCCTGGCAGAAAAGGATCCAGGGGTACTGGATACAGAATAGGCTACAATTCTGGCATTTACAAAAAAATTTGGCTTCAGTAACTTTTCTGCAATGTCTTGAAGAATATTAATTTCTGACCTGAGACGAAGTATGGGAAAAATTAGACCAAATTGTACCTCGTCCAAAACCTGGGAATGACCAAATGAAAAATAGAATTGAATAGTGAGGTTTAACTTGGTTAGAAGAGAAATGGCTATGGGTCTCTATGGGTCTGACCCACATTTGTGTCCTCCAAAGCAAAAATTTGTATCGTTTTACAGCTAGGATTTACAATGTTTAAGACTCTAATTTGTGGCTGAGGATTCCACAGATGAGGCACTGGTCATATTAATTGTTCATTAAGCTTTCTATTCCTCCACTTACTATCTCTAGCCAATTTTAGCTGCTTAAGTCACCCAGAGGTAATTTCTCATCTTGATTATGCCCAGTGTGCTAATGAGCGTTTGAATTGCTCTCTTTTACCCCTGCTTACGGACAGTGGCTAGTGCTCTCACTCTCTATGATGTTACATAGCTTGCAGGGCCTAGATATATTATACATGACAGCAGAAAGATATAGGAATCAGGTGCCAAAACTGTACCCCAGCTTGGTGATGCTGGCTTTTGTTACAAGCAATCTGGCCACAGGTCAAGGAAATGTATCAGTTTACAGTTTAAACAAGTACTCTGCGCATAATTTCACTTGTCTCATTTGTAAATAAATTCACTTATGTTTCATTTTAACGAAAAGCTGCCTTTAGAGTTTAAACAGGAAAACTTGTTTTTCACATGGTTTCTAAGCTAATTGCTGGTAATGTGGGAATTACAATAATATTATCACAAAACGTGATAATATTGTAATAACTTAGTCTTTTTCACTATAATGGACTTTGACGTGATAAGGAATTGTAAAATCTTGATTGATAGCATAGAGATCTAGATGCTGTGCATTTAATGTTACAGCACAGCTTTGCCTACTTTTAAAAGAAAAACAGTACTGCATTCCTAACTTGTAAATGCTCTGCTTTCTGTTCCCATGTCCAGGAACCCTGGGATGCACAGCACATTCCAGCGTTGTTTTCTGCTTTCTGTGGTCTGCTAGTTGCACTTTCTTATCACCTCAGCAGACAAAGCAGTGACCCATCTGTACTGATGTAAGTTGCCTGCAATTTTATTTATGGATTTCCTTGTATAGCACACAGATTTTGGTTTCCTCAGAGTAATATCTGGGTTTCAGAGCTGTTGGGGAATTGTCTTCCAAAAGTAGAGTGGTTAAGTGGAAATTCCTTGGTAAATTCTGATTGCATGGTTGGTGTTAGTCTTGTAAGTAAATGAAGTGCTGCAGCCAGATCAGCAGTATGGCTGGTTTTCTTTATGCAACACTTCCAAATCCTCTGGGGCAGATTCCACCCTCTGGGAAATGGCATGCTTGCCACATTGGAGAATGATGATTTGGTTGAGATGACTTGCAGTCTACTGATGTGTTGGTGACGCCTTGGCAAAGAAGAAGGACTTGTAATGTGTGGGGAAGTGGCTTTGAGATTATCTCTTCCCTTTTTTGCTCTGACGTGCTCTGCTAAAGGCAGCTAAAGAGAGTTTATGTGTATTAGGAGCTGATGCTGAGAACAAGGAAGATCCAGGGAAGAAGTTCTTCAGATAATGTGAGAGTGGGCTGTATGCAGATCCATAGCTTTGGAGCAGTAGTCATGAGCTTTCCTGGGTGGAGCTGTGTTATCTTCTGGGAGGCTGTGATGGTGTACAAGTAGCTGGGCGTTAACTTGTATGGTGTGGAATTAAGCAACAAATGGGCTTCATGTTGCCATTATCACCTTGTCATCTGGGATTCTGTTTCACAGACATCTTGGTCTTTCCTAGCATGATGCAGGGAGACTATTTAGCTTTGGTCTAGAATACACACAGTTAAATTGCAAATCAGCGTGGAAGTGTGAGCTCTTTAAATTTTGGAATCATTTAAATAATTGTACTTTTTTTCCCCCCACTCTCCTGGAAAGACAGGCCAACTCTTTAACTTCCTTACTAATGTAAAAACTTGTCTTACCTTAAAAAGCTTGCTATAAAGAAGGCATCTTATATTGTTAAAACTATTTCATCTTTTAACTTTAGTTCCTGATGCTTAATCAAATCCTCAGCAGTTGAAATTATTGTTAAATTTCTTGTTTAAGTTTTAAAAATATCATCAAATATCTTTATGCAACTGTGAGGAAAATGTGTAGTCCTTGTAAGTTTTAGGGCAACTCTGAATTTGAAGGAAGTTAAGATGATTGGAAATGGTGTTTAAGAGATGACTTGTGACATCGAGATGGAGAAAGTAGCACATCAGTCTTGAACTGGGTTTCATAAAGAGCTCCCTTAATTGGTTTCGGCTTACCTGAATTAATAAGGGGCATGAACACAAGAGTACCCTCTTAACTCATTCCTCTAATTGACCGAGGCACATTAATTGGACTGTTCTGGTTGTTGAGGCCCCTTGATATTGTGAAGAGGAAGGAAGTTTTACTCTGATCAAAGGTTGAGCTGGTTTGTATCATCTCCAGCTATGCAGTGATAAGGTAGCTACTACATACATGATGAAGGAAAACTGAGGCGGTTCTTCCTCCTCTGCCTGTTTCTTTGCTCTCCTCACTTCATATGTATTATATCTGTTAGACATGTTCAGAAGTATCCTAACCACATGTGTTTTTAAACAGGTCCCTAATTCAATGCAAATATGTCCCTCACTTTCTGCGTCAACAATTTGAAGATTCATCAACAGATCCACTCCCAGAAAAAATGAGAGAATCAGTGGTAAGACTTTTTATTTATTTATCTTCTGTGCAAAACTCTGTCACATCCAATTTTCCCACTGAAGGACCATTTAGATATTTAGTAATTTAAACATTTAAATTAATTATATGGGACAGATATATATCCTGTTCTTTTAAATCCACAGATATAAACTGTGGGAAATAATTCTAGATTTCTCTTAGGAGAGACCAGAACAGAGGGAGAACTGGTATCCAGGAGAAGCTGCTCTCAGAGAGTACATGTGGGAAGATTATCAAGTTTCTGAAAGTACTAGGGAGTGTTGGAGATTTCCTGCAGTTGTGAACTGTCATGCTTCCAGTTACCAGACAGCAATTCCTTCTGATTACATACCTAATGCCTGCTTTTAGCCTTTGCAACAGAGGCGATCATTCCTGTAGTCCTGAATGTTTGCAGAAGCAAGAAGTGTTCAGAGTGTCTGGGAGACAAGCTGTGATTTTATTTTTTTATTTTTTTATTTTTTGACCTTCAGACATGATCTGAGAGTCAACAGTGCTCAGTGGTACAGGTCGCTAGTGTGGTAGCTGGCCTGGCCTCTGGGTATCTCTTAAAAAGGGATGTATTTCTCTTGCACATATTGTATTCACTGGACATTTTATAACGTGTTACATAGTCTAAGCTAAGCATGTGAGGTGATTCCACACAGTTTCCTACTTCTCATTGCTTAGCTGCTGCATAGATTATTTCCTACACTGTATGATGTTACTTTAAACTGCTTACTCTAAGAAGGCCCACACAAGATTGATATGTCGGTTCCTGTCGTCTGCATTGAGCTATAGCTTCTTATAAACTATACTGTTTGTACCAGCACCACATTTCCAATACAAATATAACAGAGAAAGTAAACGAGTATTTATGTTAAAATTTTGCTGTATTTTGCCACGTTGTCAGTCCTTTCTTGTACAGTGTGTTGCAGATGTAACTGAAAGTTTCTCATTCTCTGGTATTTATATTGCACTTGTAGTACCCATCTTGGAGCAGGATAGAGTGATTTCATCTGCTCTGCAGATGGAATCTTGCCAAAGGAATGAAGCAGTTAATGCAGCTGTCCTTGTAACTGGCTGCATTTCACAGTGCAAAGGGAAACCTTAAGCAACACTTCAATATTTTGAGAGGAAAAAAGCACTGAGAGAATGAACAAAATCTCATCTAAGATCCTGACTGTAATTTGAAAATGGAGTCATGAAAATGCAGACTCTATGCCTATTTTTGTGTCAGTAATGTGCATAGTGGTCTGATGTCATATACCAACAGAGTTACCATGTGTTTCAACTGCATTTGGGCAGATCTGATGGATCTGGGAACACAGAACCACAGGGATGACTGCTGTGGGACTGGTCAGGCATAGGATTTCATTTCTTTGTCCTGTTTCCTGACTCCCATATATTGCTAGTGGTTCTTTTTTTATTATTGTTTGATTGATTTTGTTTATTGGTAGGTCTTTTTGTTTGTTTGTTTTGGTAAGTGGGATTTCCAACACCTTTTTCTCTCAAGGCTTTATTTGGTTTTGGGGAGTTGGCACTGTTTAACACCCTATGCTGCTGCTTCTAGAACAGAGGCTGTTTACCTTTGATGTTGCTGAAACTTCCTAGTTCTTTGCATTACTCTTTTTCTGTGCTGGTTTCCTTCAATCTGTATAAAAGCTGTAAGCAAATTTATTTGCTCAGTGTTGATTAGTAGTGCTAGTTCTTGCTCAATGAGAGATCTCTTGAAGAATGAGAGCACTTTCTGACTAATGCAGGCTCTTTGTCTAGTTCCTGTGTTAACTGGTACACTTAAACCAGTTTGCCACAGGACTCTCACTGCTATCTCACAGTGCAGCGCTAATACAGCAAGTAGGGAAGAACTGAAGCACTGAAAAGTGCATGTGCCTCAAGTTTGAGGAACGCAATCAAGCCACAATCTCTGCTGACCAACCTTGCAATAAAAACCACGTGTAGATTGTAAGACTCAACTGACTTTTAAAAGCAGTGTCAGAGGACATGAAAATGCCACACAGCAGAACAGCCCTGCTCTGGTCTATATGCATGTGTATGGTGTGCATAACGTGACACTGAAATAAGACCCTTTTGAAACAGAAATGCTGAGATATACAAAATTAATTCACACCATTAAACAGCTGAAGGCAGCAAATTAGATTGATATTGAAAATTAATCTATTGTATTCTCTATTGGCTTGATATTAACGTGAGCAGTAATAAATGCATCATCTCTAATGTTTAGTTCCATGACCTTTACTATTTTCCTTTGCTTGAATAACTGTGTAAGATTTGCCAGCTTTGGAAACCAGAATTATGAAACAGCTGTGAAGGATAATTGACCATTCAGCTTTGAGAATGGAGCTTCCTACCCTTACAATTAATTTCTGTCGGCATCCACATGGCTGATTGCTAGATTAACCAGTGGCTTGAAGGTATTAATGCGTTAAATTCAAACCCAGGTTCCTTCCTGGTCTTTAATGCAAACATATGCATAACTAGTAAAAGGATTTGTACAAAGCTCCAAAAGCGTAATTGAAAATAATTTTTAAACAAATGAATCCTGCTGCAACATGTAAAATCTCTGAGGCATGAGATGTAATATTGTTGGGTTGGGTTTTTTCTTTTTTCTCTCAAGTGTAAAATGGAGGAAAAAACCCATCTGTTTTCACCCCAACTATAACACTCTGGTAATGGCTATTTCTCTTTGCAGAGATACTAACTGTGATCAGAGGTTAACTTTTCTATGTTGGACCAATTAAAATAAAGGACTTAAGCATAGTGTTGTAGAGTCGTTCAGCAGTCAAGTCATAAGCGTCTGTGGTTGGGAATGGAATCTGAAGTTCTGCTTTAGACAGCTGGAGGACAGAATTGTGTCTAAGATAGGCATTTGCATAGTAGCAGCTAGGAAGATAAAGGGGTGCCAAGAGCAGGAGAGGGTCCTACTTCCTGTCCATGAAGACAGCAGGATGATGTCTTAACTCATTTTGAGTTTCACAGAATTCAATCTCCTTCTGAAAATGTATTGTGGTTCTCTTCAGGTGAGCTGAATAAACCTCATTCTTACGATACACAGTCATGCTGCTGTCAGCTCTTCAAGCAGCTCACAGAGAGGTGCAAACTGAGTTCAGTTTTATATGAGATGACTGTTTTGCAACCCTGCAGAGAAAGCAGCCTTGGAATAAGAGCCAGAACATGTCTGTGCTTCCTGCTCTGCCTTCCTTTGGCTCACCGCTCTACCAGTAGAGTCACGTTCCTTCTTGTGTTTTTCTGAGTCTTTAGGCACTTCCTCTTCCTACTGAAGGCAAGTGGAAGCCACAAGACCCATCTCTACAGCAACCTGTAGATGAATGCCCAGGGCATCCTGTTGGAAGGTAGCTTTGAATTCCCTTCAGGCAGAGAACAACTGCTCAGGGTCAGCCATTTCTTGTGGGTCTTGGCCATTATGCCCTCACACAAAACAAAGTTACTCCTGCCCGGCTTTGTTTTAGAAAGAAAAAGAACTAAACTGTGAGAAGCTTGAATAATGTCTGCCACATCAAAAAGGATCTCCTGCCTCCTGCGGGGACTATTGTGAAAGTCAGCAGCTGAAGCAGTTCTGTTCGAGGGCAAGGGGGTAAGCCTAGCCATAAATAAAACTTTAGCCACACTAGGTACTGTCAAAGTTGGAACACAACTATCAAATTTGGATTCAAATAGCTGAATAGTGAGTGTTACTCTGAAAACGAAGGCCTTTTCCTGCATCTGATTCTTAATGTGTCAAAAGCAGTGCAAGCACAGTAGGAAGAACACTTGAAAAGGCAAAGATGGGAAAAATGGGAAATAGCAGTCCTGTGTAATACAGTTTTTGTAGTACATTTTACTTGTTGATAACCTGGTCTGAGTACAGAATGGGAAGCAAGGGTGTCTTTCCTCCTTCCTCCAGTATCCATTGTTATCACTACTTCTGACTTTGACTAAATCTTTATTTGATACAGTTCTTAAAATGGCAGCTTCTTCAGTCACCTGATTACAAAAAACACACAGCTGTCACTGTAATAGGAATCCTTTTTGGTTGTGAAGGGAAGCTTGAAAATATGGTTTGTTTAATTGTTTTTATAAGCTTGTTTTAAGTGATTGAGTAGTTGGATTCAGCTGTGCAGAAAAATGGTATTTAATGAGGACTTTTCATAACAGATCTCCGCAAAAGGGCTGAAGCACAGGGCTACGTAAACAGGGCACTGCTCAGCTTTCTCAGATAATGAATTTTGCAGTAAAATGCTGTTGCTTTAAGTTGACTTTGTATGAAATAGCTTTAAAAAGATTGGAAAAATTTAAAAAGTATCTCCATTTTATGAGTTGGTAATAAATCCTGTATCTATCTTTATTGGGATTTTATCCATGATTTTTTAGTACTGCTTCTCTCTTGTGAGAGAAGGTCTAAGCCAGTTTGAGAGAACCTGTGGGAATATGTAGGGATGAAGGGTTTTTTCAGTGAAGACCTTTTCTGTAAGCTCCCTGGCGTGATTTTCCTCATCCATACGATGTCCAAGAAGAATGGGACAAGGACAGCGGGACTGTGTCTTGTGAGGATGATTGGGGAGAGTCCAACAGAACTCTGCCTCCGCATTTATGGTCCTTGCTGAGTACAGTGCCATATGAAGAGAGCGTAGCTTGAGGAGTGCAGGGAGTGCTGCTCTTTTGGAAGGATGTTTTTCTGAGCAACCTGAGAAAAGAAAGGACAACTTAATAAAGCTCAAAAATTCAGCTAAATGGGATTAGAGTTTCACGGGACAAAGCAAAAGTACTTCTTGAGCCTGAAGGCTTTTTAGTCCTGCTGAATTTCAAAGGCCTGCTGCAGTAAGTGGAAGTGCTGATGCTGGTGACCTTTTAATAAGAAGCATCTTGTAACAGAGTGACAGGCAGCCTAAATATAGTGGTTGCTACCAGCTTGTCTGGTAATTTTACAAATGCGTCTGTTGTTCACTTCTGCTTTCTTATCCCTTATTCTTAGGTTTGCTATCCCATCAATATTTTATGGTTGTTTTTTTTTCTTTCTTTTCTCTGATCAGATAAAGGAAAATTACCTAGATTGCAGCACTAGGAAACTGGATGAATTTCAAATTCTAACAAAGTGTTTTATTCTGCATAGTGTTTCTAGATGGTTTTGAATTTTAGCATAAATCATTTTTTAAACCAAGATCTATAAGTGATTATATATGCATGTGATGAGTTAGCACTAATATTGGCTGTTGAAGTTGAATATCCCATTCACAAACCTAGGAGAAGATTTTCACCTACTCAGGCAGATATTTGAGTGACCTCTGAAGTACAATTCAGAAGATCACAGAGCTCGAAAGCTATCTTGTTTATTTGTTTACTGAGAAAGACATTTTAATCACAAGAAAAGTGGTCTAGAAAGATCATGATATTTTTCTAATCTTTTAAAACAAAATTACTACTACCCTACTTATAAAGCTTTATATAAAGGCACACTTGTCCTTGTGTTATCATTGAGTGATAGCAGAAAAATGGCCTTGTCTGAAACCCATAAAATCTTGCTGAAATTTGATTTCTGATACAGAAAATCAGAGAATGGGACATGTCACTTTAGAACATAATAAATGTATTAGCTTGTGTGTTTGAAGGCATTACAGAAAAGCATGAGTCATTCCAATAATGCAAGCAAATCTAAAGAAATTGTAACGCTTGCAGATAGGTAATGGAACCAGAATTTTTATTTCCAAAAATAAAAATGCCATAATGTGAAAGAGTTATTTTCCTTAAATAGAATTAGGCTCAGTGTGAAAATTGTATTGCTTTCATTTATCTAGTGTTAAAACCAAATTTAAAGATACAATTTAAAGTTAGTCACGATGAAGATAAACATGGTTTCTTGACACGGCCAGCGTATGAAGAAATAATTTCACAAAGCAGAGTGGAGAGAACACTTTTGTATCGGGGAGTGATGATTAGCCTTACCACAAGACAGTCTGCAAGTAATTTAGAAGAGAGTAATTTACTTTATCTAGGTAAAATGGTATTGGTGTGCTAATTTGGTATAAAATAATTTTCACAGAAAGAAGTTTTGAAATCGGATCTCATTGTCTGCACAGCAGCAGCTGTTCTGTCATTTGCTGTGAGTGCCAGCACTGTGTTTCTATCATTAAGGGTATGTGTCCTTTTTCTTTTTCTAAGGTATTATCTCTTATGTAAAATCACAGAATATGTTAGCTGGAAGATAGTGGGGAAAGGGAAGTTTGAGAAAATGTATTTACTGGCTGTGATAAGTTAATGCTTTTTGACGTGCAGTGTGAATTAGAATGTGGATATTTGCATCAGGCAAAATATTACTTACTTGGTGTCTATTTCCCTAAGCCTTTGCACATATGCACCTCTTCTATGATATGCAACCTGAGAGACAGAGTGGATAAATCCAATCATTTGCATTTTCTCCTCTATTTAGGAGGAAAAATGGTGAATTGTCTCTGCAAAATTTATATTTCTAAATACATACGCCTGTGAAATGAATTTGAATGGGGGGGGGGGGGGTGGAAGAACATTAATTGGGTAGAAATCTCATTATAAGGACATGTTTTAAAACAAACAAAAAGTTATTTGCAAATTATAACCATGTGTTTGTTTTTTTTTTCCTCATTTGGCCTAGCCATTTCTCAGCATTGTCCTGTTTGCTTTAGCATGGACTGTGGGATTTGTAACACATTACATACTTCCTCAGCTTCGCAAGCATCACCCCTGGCTGTGGATCTCCCACCCCATACTTAAAAGCAAAGAACACCAGCAACGGGAAGTGAGAGGTTTGTAATGAAATCTTATCTAAACAATGGATGTCGTGGCTTGCAGCCTGTCTTGATTTAAAAACAAAAATCCAGAAAGAACAAAGCAGAGGGAATAATTTGTTTTCTGTTTGATAAGATGTTACATGAGTGTTTTTTTTCTCAGGGCTAAACAGTTCCTGCTCTCAGCCTCAGGTTGTGTGTCAAATAGTAAGGTGTCTTAATCTTCTTAGTTGCCTTAAGTAGGCTTTCATGAACCACCATCTGATCTGCTTTCTACTTTTGCATTACAATACTGTTATTTGCTGTGTTGCTTGATGTGTTGGCATTTTAAGTGGTTTCTTCTTGTTGTCACAGAATTATGTATTATTTGAACAGTATGGATGATGCAACCTAGTTTTAATTTTTATTGTAATGCTATTAGAAGAACAGTAAAATTGGAAGAAATTGTGAAGATTTGTTACTGGTAACTGTTCTTTCTGGCTTTAACAGGTAGTGCCACGATGCGTAGGAGTTATCTGTTAATATTTTAGAATGCTGGGGCCTGATTTCCTATTCTTGATAGTGTTGTTTCCACAAGCAGCTAGCACACTTTGAGAAGGATGGCATTTTTTTCCCCTTGGCTCTCATCTTTTATTTGCTACCAGCCTAAAGCCTGCTTGTCATTTCTTGATGGATCCTCTGCCTTAATCATTCTCAGTATATGTTTCTGAGGTGTTTGAAGGCAATGTTGTGAGAACACAATCTGCTGAGAGACTTTAGTCTGTTCTCCAGCTGAGCAACAAAAGAGTTCAGATCGCTAAGCAAAACCATGCATTAAGAATTTAAATCATCTTTAAAAAAAAATCACGTCTTTCAAAACAATTACTTTCCAAACAAGGCTTGGGTATGAAAAACTACCCAAGAAACTTTACTGAGGGTTGCTTTTTAACTTCTACTGCAATGCATGAAGGAAAGTGTAGTAGAAATATGGAACTTTTAAAGATCATTACCAACTGAAAACATTGTTCAGGGCGTTCTCTCACTGATCGTCAGTAATTTTGATGAGTGTCCAAATTTCACTATTTTTTACATCAATTTAATAATAAAAAGACTAATGTGGGATTTCTTTGCTTTGTCCTGATTAAATCTGTCTTCATTTGTCAGGAAACATTTTCTTAAATGCAATGATTCAGCTTTTGAAAAGGTTGAAGGTAGAGTTCTGCTAGACTGATCTCCACAGACAAGTTTTCTTCTGCTTTGAGATCAGCTACCCACGCTACCCGCTGCAGGCAGCAGGATATTTTGCTTCCTTTGCAGTTCTGATTTTACATGTGATCTAATTCCTTACTTTGAGTTTTAAGAACGATTGTGATGTTCACGTGTGTGAAGAAAACAGAGTTTTATATACATTATAAGCTGTTTTTTTTCTCCAGTCTCTTGGACTTCTGTAGAGGCTTTTTATTATGTTCTCAGATGAGACAGGCTGAGTAAAAGGTTGGGTAATCCCTTTGATAGATATGTCTGACAGACTATCTTCTTTCTTTCACTCTGTAAGAAAAATGTAGGAGCAGAGTTTAAAGGTTCTCTATGTGTATAGAAGGAGAAGCTTGGAAAAAGACAGTATCCTCTAGTTGTCAGGCATGGACAGTAATGAGACAAACACATCGAACAAGGGATTTTTTAGGAGCTTTGACTGCATAGAATTTCATTTTCAACTTCCTCATTTTTGACAAGTGCAGACCTATGGTAAAGATGAATGATTGCTAGCACTTAGATGAGCAGCTGGTAATGACAATTCCGTAAGTTTATTCTAGGTTTGTTTCATAGACTTCAGATGAGCCATTTAGACTTTCAGGCCCTCCACAGTATAGCAGTTATGAGAACAGTTCTCATGATGTACCTATGAGATACCTCGTTTATTTTGTGTTATTTTGACTGACTGCAGGAAGAAAGAGTGAGCTTATGGTACAATGCATAGAAAGTGCCAGGCTGTGTGAAAAACCCTAGCACACTAGGCTGTCTTTTTCTTTCTCACCACTACTACTTTTATACCCCACAGATTCATCTCAGCCATTTTCAAATCATCCATTTTTATCCCTAGGTCCCCTCTGAACATATGCTCTTTTTCTCACTGCGTTGGCTATGCATGCCTTGCTCCTGTGGCTACTTTCCTTTTGGTCTACTTGATATGCACATCTCTTTATTCAAGCCTGAGTTCCTAAACAGAGCTCAGCTTTGGACAACCAGATGAAGTTCTTTAGTAGAGAACAGGAGCTCTGAGAGCAATTAGGAGAAGGAGCGAATAAGAGCTAGGTTCCAAAATAGATATCTTGCTGTGTATATGAGCTTAGGAGGTAGCTGTTCAGCATGTTTTTTTTCCTGTCATTAAGAAGTTATGTGTGGGGGGGTTGTTTACACACAATAATTTCCATTTCTGCAGGGAAAGAGTATTAGAAATTCAGAAGCTGGCATCATTATTTCTGACTCAATACCAACTTCTGCCTTTTGCAGTTTTTTTTCCCAATAGCCTTGTCTACCTCAGCTGAGAATAAATATTTCTCTTTTCCATACACTGATGTTTCTGTACTCAGTTCACCTGAGTTCTCATATAGCTATTTAGTTGCACAGAGCATTCAGTTCTTGTTTAATTCTCCTGTTAAGCCTGTGATGTTGTTTTTAAAAAAAAAAAAAAAAAGTCTGCTGCCTGAGATAATGGTATGAGGTTCTGTAGGTCGTCCACCAGGTCAGTGCTGAAGAGAGTCTCTACTGATCAATTACATCACCAGAGGTGCTATTCAGTTCAGTGACTAGTAATGGAATTGTATAGAATCCACTGTTACTTAGAATCTACATGGACCACCTCTTACCATTTGAGATTTTTTTCATGAATGCAATTCTAAGAAGCTAAACAGATACTCTCTAAATTGAGAGAGCTAAATGATTTCCCTGTTACAAAAGAATTAGGAATTTCTTTGTGCCATAAATTAGTTGGTTGATTATCCTTGTTCACGTAAGCTAACTCACTTCTTTACTTTTACATTATTGCAGTACAAAAATGCAGGTAATTTGATGAAATGTTCTGTTTCCTGAATTTTTGTTTCAGATGCTGCTCATTTGATGTGGTTTGAAAGGCTGTATGTGTGGCTTCAGTGCTTTGAGAAATATGTCTTATATCCAGCTATAATATTGAATGCCCTCACCATTGATGCTTTCTCCATTAGTAAATACAAGAAGCTTGGTACACAGTAAGTTGATTATAACTCATTCATGTGATTAGTAGACTACTCAGACATAGACTGAAGACTGAGAAATGAAATTTGTTTCTCAAAGAAGTCTGCATGCTTATCACAGTTGCATGTGCCGTTATTAGTTTCCATATACAACAATCATTGGTTCTGCTGAAAGAAAAAAAACAAAGCTGCCTTAGAGTACTCAAAGACATGACCCCAGTGAGAGACAGAGAAATTAAAAGATTAAAGAGCTATATATAGATCTATATGGAATGTCTGAATGTCAATTAAAAGCAAGACACACTATACGAGGCAGCAGGTGTTTGATGAGTATAAACACAGTGGGGTAACTGGAATTAATCAGATGAAAATGAGAAATCTAGGCTGGATATCAGGAAACATTTCCGAACTGAGGATTTTTAGGACTACAGCATAGGCTCCCAAAGGAATTATCATCAGTTTTCCCACTCAGGTCAGGCTAAACCGTATAAAATATTTAATATAGAATGGCAGGTAGTCCTGCATTAAGAGAGCATTAAGAAAGGCTTCAGAAAGATAGGTATGTAAGAGGGTTTTCTTTCTTTTTTTTTTTTTCTCCCCTGAAGTCTGTCTCTGATACTAAGCAGAATTGGCAGTGCTGATCCGTGGACTCACAGTATGATCCTTGCAGACAGCCTTTTATGGGAAATATTTTGGTTGGTGACTTACCTACTGCAGATATTCAGCAGGCTTAGTTTCTGCAGTATCCCCAGTGAGCAGAGTTTCTGCAGTCTTTTTATCAGAATGACGCAGATAACAAAAACAAAGAAACAGTGTTCAGGAAGGAAGGTTCCAGTAACAGGAAAAACTGTGGAGGAGAGGAGGAGTTCTTAAAGTATTGATAAGATTATAGATTTTAAATTTTACATCAAATTTTTATTAAAAAAAAGAAAGCATGTTTTATTTATTCTTCTCCCTCAGAGAATAACACAGCTTTAGGAACAATAGACATTTTAATTTATATATGTATGTATACATATATGTATAAAAATATAATATATAAATATTTATATCCCTTGCTTTTGGGGGCTAAAACTAGGACTGTGGCATTAGTCAGATTTTTCTGTGTATACCTCACTAACAACTACTTTTTCAGAGAGATTCTCAGTGGTCACTTGGAGATGGCCTATACAGTTCCCTATTGACCTTTTACTCCCAGGCCTTGGGAGATGTGAAGGCAGAGGCATTCAGGAATTTAGGTGTATTGCATGGGGTAAGACTGAGTTCATGCTCACTTCTGTATTTGCTTCTGTGAGACTGGGAGAACTAAACAGTAATCAAAATGCCATTTGTTAGTAGTTAGCAGACATGACTGAATACATGTACAGAGCAAACACGTAGGGTTAAGAAGGTACTGTTTTTTATGTAGTCATTCCTCAAAGCTGGATTACGCTTTAAAGTATTGCCTCCCTTGAGCATTCAAAAGTAGTGACTCAGTCTCTCAAAAATCTTGAGATTAAAGAAAGTAATTACATTTCTCTGTCTCTGACCGTTTAGCCTGTAGGAGAATAACACAACAGTCCTTTCCTTTCCCATCCTCTGTGTGTTTGTGTGATTGCTTTGGATTTAGAACTACCTTTAAGCATGCCAGTAAAAATACAGTTCCTGACTGCTGTTTCAAAGAAGTTCCACTCAGGTATGCCCAAACAGCAGTCAAAGATATGGTATGACGTAGAGAGGGTAGACTATATCTATTATAAAAAGGAGGAGAATCAACTTTTTACTCGGGTAGATAGCGTTAGGATAAGGGGGAATGGTTTTAAGCTCAAAAAAAGAGGGTTTAGATTGGATATCGGGAGAAGTTCTTCACAGAGAGAGAGCGGTGAGGTGCTGAAACAGGCTGTCCAGGGAGGCTGTGGATGCACCATCCCTGGAGCTGTTAAAAACCAGGTTGAATGGAGCCCTGGGCAACCTGGTCTAGTACCAGATCTGGAGATTGGTGGCCCTGCCTGTGGCAGGGGGCTGGAATTTGATTATCCTTGGGTTCCCTTCCAACCCAAGTCATTCTGTGATCCTTTATACTGGCAGTGGTGGAACTGTAGCTCTTTTCAAACCATTGAATGAGTGTTGCTGTGGCAAGACTGCTGCTGGCCTTAGTGGTACAGATTGGTTTTTGCGATGTTTACCCAGGTTACAGTTGTATCAACGGATTGCAAGGAAGATGAACTTGTTTTCTTTATGTTTGTGTTTTTAAAATCCATGAGATGCATGTCTTTCCTGACCCTTATTGGCTTTTTTCTTATCTGCTGTCCCTGTTAATAGGAGCATAGAGGTAGGAAATAATGGAAGCTGCCACATAGTCTTCTGTCTGCCTTCTGTCTTCACTGATCTTCATGTATTTTCCCCTTTTACTTGTAACCAAGACTAGAACGTTTTCTGTATCCCCTTTTTCTATGGCACTTCTCTTCAATACACATTCCCTAAGACTCACATGTACGTGCCATACACAAGACATCTGTCCTCAGATCCTACCTCCTCCTTGAGTCTGTAAGTCCCTGAGGGGGTTGTCGTTGATTCTCTTTGGCTCTTTGTATACCACATCACTAATGGAGAGAAAATATAGCATAAATCGTTATATATATGTATATATACATATATGTTAGTATATAAATAGTTGCTTCCAATTGTTGGAACACTCCTTAGTAATTTCCCACCCGAGGATCAGACTGCATCATACCACAGAGAAGGAAGGGCTCTCTGTCTGTGTGGTACATTTCACATGATTTGATTTGGGAGTTTTTCTCGACTGGAAATTGTTTCTTAAAAAATTTTCATCTTGTTTTGTGATTAGAAGGACTGAAGCAGTTTGCTTCTTGGAGAGGCAGTACAGCTGCCTTCACAGCCAGGAATTACTTCAACTTTGGAGGCCCTGATGTGCTGGTTATTAGTGGGACTCATGCTGACAAGCTGAAATGCCTTTCCATATTACCTGCCAGAGCGCCTTCAGAAATAAGCCCTTATTTCTCATTCTTTCTCTTGCTTTCTCTCTACTGAGAGGTAAGGCCCCAGGAAAAGTGTCTTGTGTGGCAGTATCTCCAAAGAAGAGGGATAATGAGCAAATTTATTTCTGCTTACCCCTTGAGAACATTGTTTTATAAAATGTTTCTTTTTTTTTTGTTTGTTAAATTTTCTGAATGTTAACAGACCTGATAAGGAAAAAGTCTTCCTTTTGCTCCATCATCTGAGAATTTTCCATGTGAAAATTCCTCCATGTTGTAAGAATGTTCTCCTTTAGAAGGAATACGAGATCCAGCTGGTTTGTATGTGACATGCTAGGATGGCTTGTAGTGGCTCCAAAATCTATTTAGTTTAGATTAACCCTTCAGGAATTTTGTGAAAATTGAAAGCAACAGCTTTGACAAGGTGAGAAATGAGGTCAGCTTGGCATTTCATTCAAACAGTGATTTCCTGGTGATTCCTTAGAATGTCCTGCCCACAAATATCCTTGTGTGTATGTTAAAGAAAATACACAATGAAAAATTAATTCCACATAAGATCAGACTTGAGAGTCAGCTTGGAAGTCTTCCTAGAATGATGAAACCTGTTTGGAACTTTCTAATATGTCAAGTGTCAGCCATAGCAGCAGGTATTCTCCTGAATCACAGCAGGATGGAGAACCTTCTGTGCGTTTTGCAAATACCTGGCCTAGTTTATTGAGGCACTCAGTATTCATTAAAGTCCTCTTCTATTTTTACCTGCATCAAAAACACAACATATCTCTCAAAAAGTGTGTTTAATTTACATAAGAGAGATCACCTGTCTTTCAATTCACAGAGAGTTACTTGTACATGTCTGTCAGATTTTGGTCCTCTTTTCAGGAATAGATTCCATACAGTTCTTAGGCATCAACATGCAAAACTGCAATCCAAACGTGCTAGTTCAAATGCCAGGAAGCCCTAGGGATATCTAGTATTGCTAAATACTCCTCAGTTTGACTCGAATGGTTCATTAGGAGGCTCAAGATGTACTTCTGAATGTGCACAGAGCTGTCTGAATAAATCCTTTTTCTCTTAACTTGCCCTGACTAGGAACAAAATACCCAAAGGTTTTGGGCTGAGAGGCTTTGCCCAGACTGTGATTAGGATTGAGTTCACAAAATATGGCTTCAGTGTATGTGCTTTTAATGACCTTGATGCAGAAAGAGGGGTTGCCCACCTCATTTAGTAAGAGTCTCAGAGGTTCAGATGTTAAGCACTCACCAGGAAAGTGGCGGCTTGTTTTGCTCTTGTTTACTCCTGCTTTGGTGGCAAGGAAATTCTTATAATAGTGACGAGTCGTGAGTTCTGACTCTTAATTCTTATTCTGTTCCTGTGTGCTTCAAAAGTGGCTTGCACCATGCCAGGGTGGAGTGGTGGTGTGGATCCTGTGGACCATTTCAGTAGAGTGCCTGCCAATAGAAGTTGTGGAGTCTTATTCTATCTTTCTGTATAAAAATAAAAACAAAATGAAACAAACAAACAAACAAAAAACACCCAACCAAACAATAACAATCCACATCTGCAGTCCTGAAAGTGATTGGGTTAAGAAAGGGCAGTGCTTTCAGACCCACCTCCACCCTGAGGATTTCCTAAAGCTGTTGTCTGGTTATCCCCTTGCACTTGTGAAGGAGCCAAAGTGCTTTGCCTTCAGCTTTGATTCTACCCATCTAAAACTAATCTGTCTGAGACCTTTTCAGCAACTAAATTCCCAAGTGGGCTGTAATTATCAAGATATCAGAGTTACTGTCAAAGCAAGACCATCTTTCTAATTCTGTGAAGTCTCTTAAAAACAGAACTAAAAGATGTGAATAACCTCAGGTCTTGAAGTTCAGATAACATTCAGAGACTTGGTGTGGTTTTCTAAATTTAAGCAGTGCTAACACATTGCTTCTTTCTCTTCATCATATAGTTTTTTTGGGGTGTTAAAAGAGGCATGTTACCTTCTTGGAGAGGCAGTACCAAGCACTTTAATTTTTGGATATAAACTTCTTGGTTTTCTAAATGGTCACTTACTGTTTAGAGTCTTCAACTTAAGTTCTCTGTCTGATGTAATGAGGAGAGTAAAACGCAGATTGCATCAATTTTGCAGTGCATAGATGCAATGCATAATTTGTTTTCATCCAATGGAGGAGTTAGTATGTAGGATAGATGACCAGCTCAGTAGCAATATTAAGAACTGCAAACATTTCTGTGGGTATGAAAATTAGTATTTTGACATAGTGTGTAGTAGGAGAATACTTCTAAACTGTCACAGAGTTGAATGTCTATTAATAATAGTAAGAAAGTGAAGCAGGCTCAAGATGTTTTCTTAAATTACAGTAATTAATGGAAGTGCAAAGATAAAACTTTGAGAATTATATTATCTATGTATGAGATATCCTTCTTAAATTATTTTTAATAGTTAATACAATTCTTTTGCTACAGATTTTTTTTGTTAGAGATAACAAGTTATAATAAACTGTGACGTTTGAGATGATTAACATGATTATTAGAATAATATAGGATTAATATCAGAGATCAGTAAGATTTAGATATACATAGCAATCTAAAGTGCATCTGATACAGGTGTTTGTATTTAAGATCTTCATAATGTAATGTTTCTATTATTTTGACCTAATTAGGTTTTTCTTTCTGCCTTTCTTACAGCTGTGATATTATCTTGATAACAGTTGCTGGGATGAAACTCCTCCGTTCCTCATTCTGCAATCCCATTAATCAGTTTGTTACTTTGAGCTTTACTGTAATCTTTTTCCAATTTGACTACAGAGACATTTCAGAAAATTTTCTGCTAGATTTCTTCATGATGTCCATCGTGTTTCACAAGGCAAGTTTTATAGCTATTGTCATTTCTCTAGAAAAATAGATTTCGTACCTTGATTTATGTACTCAGTGTCACTGTGTTGATCAATACATGGTGGGGTTTGTTAGAAATTATGCATTAATGTAAGCCAAAAACAAGCTTCCAGTTCAATTTCTTATCTATTTTGGTGCAATGTTTTGCATTTGCTTTTTGTTTACATGTTGTGATAGAGTTCATAGTTATCATTTTCAACTTCAAAATTGTCATTGAGTTGAAAAGAGCCTCTTGGGTCATTAGTGCAGGGCTGTCCTCCAGATCAATCGCCTGGGTGTTTTTTTATCTATGCTTCCTTTGAATGCCTCTTGTGTTCAACTCAACAACTTCCTTTGGGAAATTATTCTGTTATCTAATCATCATCCGGATATTAAATGTTTTCCTAAAGTCAAACTTAACATTTTTCTTTTCCTACTTTCTGTCTTATTCTTGCAATGCTGCCCTTAACCTTACCCTCAGAGCTCTTTTCTCTGTTAACTCCTGGCTTCTTTGGAGTGTGTTCTAGTTGCATTAACTTCCAAAACAAAAACAAAACAGAAAACAAATCCTTTGCTCCAGTGAGATTGAATCCTGTACTGATCTACGTATTATCTAAGTAGGTTTATCTGATACTTTGATAAAATCTAAGGACTGAAAATTTGCCTAAAGCTTTTAGCAATTCTTTTGTATTTTGTTTTTGAATTTATCGATCCTTGATTGCCATAAAATATAATACAGTTTGTTCAGAGGTAATTCTAGCAACGTTTCCTTTTGTTGTCTTTTCTGTTGTTGGTGATTCTGTTTGGTGAGTTTCTTTTCCTAAAATATTCCTGATGTGTGAGCATGACCCAGCTGGCATCATTTCTTTTCTGAGAGATGAAAGACAGAGTAGCATATTGACGGTAGCACGTTCTGTGGGAGATACCTATCAACATGTAGAGGTATGTGATGAGCATGAGCTCATAGTACTGCCCATGTCTAGCTGGAGTTTCAGCCTACTCAAGGGAAGGCCCAGCTTATTGGTATTCTGTTGCTGATTTTCAGTCATTCAGGTCAAATGTGAAACAGAAATCAAATGCTTTTATTCAGAGTTATTTCTGTGCTGCTATAAAGAGAGGTAAGAGAGGGCTAATAGCAAGCTGGTGAGGTACCTTGGCCTTTTTTTTTTTTTTTTTTTTTCCTCCTATGAACACTTGATCTAGTGACTAACAGTAGCTTTACCTCCATGCCTCCAGCCCTCTGTCCTGGTCTGCCAGGGTGAGAAAGCAGGTGCTAGGTGTGAAGGAAAGAAGAAAAAGCAAGAAGAGATGATTTAAAAGCATTTTTTAAGAAGTCCTGCTTTAAAGAGGTCCCCTCCCGTCCTCCCCACTCCCACCCCCATGTGCACACACCTCTCATGCCTATGATCCTAGTATGGGTTAGATTAACCTTTAAGCTTCTTACCTCTGGGGAAAGGTGAATAGTGAAAGAGATGCAGAGGTAGATTGTATTGTGGCAGTTTAAGTACTTGTTGCCATATTCCACTTGGATAAGGTGTGCGTTTTTGTCTCCAGAGAAGAATGGTGGTGTACATCAGTGGACAGTCCTTGTCCAGATAGCAGCTTATTTAGTTCTAAAACTAATTATTCAAAAAGCTCTTTAAAGGATCAGAACATCAGCATCAGAATTGGACGTTCTAGAACTCATCACTTCTTTTGAACAAGTTGACCTTGTAACCATGTCACAAAATACTGATGTGGACTATTACATGTTTTTAGCAGAGAAAGAAGTAAAGGATTTTCAGTGTTTTTGGACTTGTCTGGATAATTTGATAGTTCACTGTACAAAGACTCGTAATAGCAGTAAGCATGACATAATGAAGGATGCATACCAAATTAAGTCAATCTGTGCTAGAATAACTATTGCTCTTTACTAGGTTGAAAGCTTGTACTACGGATATGTTTTGAAAATGTACATCTAGCATTGATCTGTCATCTTTCCATATCTCGTTAAATCAAATTTTGCACATTATTAGTTCCATTTGAAAAACTGAAATTAAATGGTTGAATTACTTACATTACCAAAGTACATACACAGTTACACAGTGATCATTAAAGGCAATCTGAAAAATAGCATAGCTAATAATAGGAATTAAAGTCCTATTAATTTCAAATCACGAAGAACATAAATTTTCTTTACTGTAATTAAGGTCTGAGTTTTTATGAACTCCAGTATTGTGAATCTTTTTAGGATATAGTCACTTGAACATAAAGATGTATCTATTCCGTACTATTGGCACTAAGCAAGCTGTGTGCACCACTATATCTAAAAACTTACAAGTCTTCACAAATTCTGTCCAACTGTAGTTGAGTCCTTTTTATGTTTGCAAATATTTTTAAAAAGACAAAGACAAGAATCAGAATAATTTCTGTTATCACCTTTGACTTCAACCATGCAGAAATTACACACAATAGTGATGGGTATCTGCTTGTTCATTTATACTGTCAACTATGTACCATCTGAATTATGGAACATTGCAAGTGCTCTGCTTTAGTCATAGTAAAAGTAACTTTTACTATGGCTACACCACAAATAATTACTTGCATACTGTCAGACAGAGCAGTGCAGCAGTAAGCATTCATTTTCTTTTGTCAGTCACTGGGGAAGAAGGTGTTTAAATTCATCACGAGTGTGCTAGTAAGTTTTGAAGCAGACTATCTTGAATAAAATAGTAATGCTCTGCTAATGATTTTGGGCAGAATATTTCTGAATATCTTACCATGTGCTTCTTTTATTATACTGTTGATTTAGTGTGCCTTAGTCAAATCAGAAGCTCCAAATGAATGTGTTGCTCTCTGAACAAGTTGAGGCATGGAAGTCAAAATCAGTGCTGAAAGATTATCTTTTTTTCCCAGACAACCATGCCACCCGTTCTGGAGCAACACAGAGAACAAGAGAGTATATTCACTTCTATTCCCGAGGCTTTTTTTGGTCTGTTTTAACATACAATTATTATTGCCACACAATTAATGACACTTGTTTTTGTAATAGCTGCTTACAATTTGAACTGTTGCAGATTATGAAATCTTAATGCTAAAAGCTTATTAAACATATGTCAAGCATGCTATTTTTTCTTTCAAATTGCCGTAGGAAGGGAGCAAGATAAATACTTAGAAAAGACTTCTGTATTTATTTTTTAAGAATGTGTACAGCTTTCAATTCCAGTAGAACAGGACTTCTCATTCTTTCTTATTTCAAGTCTTTCCATTTCCTCTCCAGGTTTGTCTTGTCAGCTACAGCCTAGGATTTTTCTTTGCAAGACTCCCTTGTCTATGTTCTTTAAATCAGAGCAGAATGGCCTTTTGAAAATACAATTATTCATTCAAAATTTCTGGGTACAATGATCTTATATATACTATGCAGGAAGTTAAACTGGATATTCAAGGCAGTTTTATTTGTTTGCACAACTTCCTGTATACTTTTGATGTAAGCCAGTTGTTCTCTCTGGGCTTTTTAGGAGATGCAGTAGTGAATTCAGCTTATACTGGTTGCGTTTTATGTTTGTTTGTTGCCTGTTTGCTCACAACTGGGAGCAAACAGCAGTGTGTTGGAGATTTCTGTACGCCAAACTGTGGTGAATTGCTTCTTTTGCCAGCAGCTTCCATCTGTAGGGCACAACTGAGAAGAGATACCTGCTGAATCTGCACTTTGGAATATCTATCAAATTTGACAAATTTGTTTATTTCCCTTTTAGCTTCACAGGAAGCACTTCTACCTTGGAGTGTCACTAACCCTCTGATGTGTAGGAAAACACCTTCATATCTTTTTCAGTGTCATGTATGCTACTGGCAGACAGAGTAATGGTCTGTTAATTTGTGTGTGTGGATGAACTAATTAGCAATACTAAAATATGAAATCACCTCATGTTTTCTGATGATCCTATCCTCTGAGGGTTCTGAATTTGTCTTCATGCATAAGGCAAAATAATCAAAGAAGCAGAGCTTGTTAAGTTTGCGTTCATTAACGCTGAATTCATTTGCCTAAGTACACTTAACCCCTGCTGAGCTTGCTTAAGAATACAATTTCCCTGTCTAATATTTCTACTTCTTTCCCAGAATACATTTTCCAGTTAATAAGTAATCTAGTTGTTTTTCTCTTTGTACTTCATAAGAACTTTTTTTTGTATGCTTATTTGTGCCTAGTATCTGATATTACAAATTTATGACTAATGAACTTAATGGCAAAGTAAGTCCAGCTAGTACAGCCAGCTTGTAGCAACCTGCCAGGCACGTGCTGATCAGGCTTAAATTTGTATGAGTTCAGTGTCTACAGCACAATCCTTTGGACAAGGAAGAAATTCTGCATGTCATCTTACTTTCATTCATTTTATGAGAAAATGCTATCAAATGCGTTGATCTTCTTGGTGCTTTATTGAAGTAATTAACCTATTGGATCTTTTATTGCCTTTGTGGCAGTGAACTCTTGGTTACTCTGCATGTTCCAGTGGATTTACATGGGTGCTACTTAAAGTCAAAAGCCTCACTCTTTTTCTGTCCCCTTCTGATTTTCCATCCTACTCTGCATTTGATGCTTCACTTCAAAGCTTCTGACATTAAGTTATTAATTTATCTTCTAATCCATTTCTTGTCGTTTATGCATAGTGAAATCCAGTGTCTTAATCAGCTGTACCTTCTTAGCTCACAGCAGTTTCTTCAACTTTTGATATCTGGTGTATAAACCGTGTTAAGGCACTTTCTGCTGAGTAAAGTACCCAAGGCTGCACCTGATATTTGACAGGATAATCCCAGCTGTGTTTTCTGTAGAATCCTTAAATCTCTTGAGCATTGTACAGTTCGTGTTTCATTCTAATATTGGTGAAATGGCATAATTGATTTTTCATTCAGCCTTCTGTCACTGACCTCTTTGTCAACCTTCACTCCTGCTGCTACTCCTAAAAGTCATTTTCTCTCTTTTCTTCATGTGTGTTTTTCCTTTAGGTTAGGACAAACGTA